GAGTGGCTGCCACCTGCACGACCCCACCGGGGCCGGGGACAAACTGCACCTGAGGTACGTGCCCTTAGCGGGAACTGAACCCGGGATTCTCTGGTCCGTGGACCGATGCTCCATCCGCTGAGCCAAACTGGCAAGGGAGGATTTTTATATTTTTTATGAAACTTTCATTTTCCAAATTTTTAATGAGTCTGAATTATTCTTATAGGTAGAAACAAATATAAAATGAATATTTATACTAAACAGACGCCTTTCTCGGGCTTGGGGACCAATGCCTTTTCTGGCCCTCACGGGCTCCTGTGCATGGTTTCAGGGGTGAGCAGCTGTGGCTCTCTGCCATTAGACATCACGAAGAAATAAATTCTCCGAAGTTACAGGCACTCTTGTCGTGCCCAATGACTTGACAGGTCTAAACTTTAGTTTCCTTACCTGTAAAATGAAAGAATAGCTACTGCCCATTCCTTCATCAAAAGAGATTATAAAGACAAAAGCAAGGAAGGAAGGGAAGAGATCTATAGTCATGTAGAAGATAACATAATGGTAATTCAAGGAGTGTTACATTACCAATGGTTGGAGGATAGGACATTAGCCATGGTCGGTGTCCCTCAGTGGTTAGAGAGTCGGCCTGCGCACCCAAGGGTCTGGGGTTTGACTCGCAGTCATGGGGGCGTAGCTGAGTTGCAGGTTTGATCCCTGGCCCGATCGGGGCTTCTGTCTCTGACACATCGATGTTCCTCTCTCTCTCTCTCTCCTCTCTTTCTCCCTTCCACTCTCTCTAAATATCAATGGGAAAAATACTCAGGTGAGGATTAACAAAAATAAAAAATAAAAAGATAGGACATTAAATCATGGTAACAACATGAGCCATGTTAGCTGCTTTGATCACAAAAGTTTTTATATTGGTGGGACTGTAAAATGGATAATTAATATTATTGTGGTTTTAGATTTTTACAGAAGGACTTTCCTTTTTGGAATTTTCAAATCGAATTTCTGACTTAATAAACCTCTTTTTCAAACATTCACAAAATACTGTCGTGCCAGAAAGAGGCACCAGAGGGCGCTACATCACTTACAGAGTCCACCTGGCTTCTCCACAGCAAATCACTAAGATTGATGTCAGGAGTATTGGAACTGGGTCCAGGGCCCAGATAAATGAAGCCTGGTGTACATTAATTATGATGTCGGGCCAAGATTTAATTAAATAAGCTTCTTTGTTCTTCTTGCCTATTACTTTAACCACTCTGCTTTTTCAGTTTGTATGTTTATGCACTTTTATTTATTTCTTTTAAATCAGCTGGGATTGTTCAGATTAGAATTCTTTAGAAAACTGAAACCCTGGTCTGCTCTGAAAGCTGCCACAGGCACACGTTCACATGATAGAGATGCTGACCTCCTCTTTGAGACGTTTATAAATGTAGCTAGAAACACATAAGTGGCTTGTACTGTTTTCAGAACAGAGGAGGTTGAAATTTCTACTTTAGTTTAGGACTTCAGTTTCTTGTGCCGTGGTCCTTAATTCCCAGTCTGCAGACACTGGGGAATGAGGTGAATGCACCGTGCTATCCATAGGTGCTTCTCTATACTCTTCACACGTCCGAGGCTGTCCCAGGCAGCGGGAGGGCCACGAGCGGGCATGTGTGTCAGGTTCAGAGGGCCCGTCAGGCTGGAGTGGCTCTGCTGGACCCTGGAGACTGCCCTTGGCTGGCTGTCCGTGGGACCTGCGGGCAGAGGGTGACGGCTGCAGCAGAGGGTGGGGAACTGGCCTCAGTTCTCATTTCAGTGGGGGCCTCTTGGGATGCAGAAGAGCAAAGCGGGGACAGGGAGCAACAATTCTGCCTGCACACGTCTCCCTCAGGGCGCAGTGTCCGCACACACGTGTGCAGACCAGGGGTGAGAAGATCGGTCTGAGTTTGGCTGTCTGTTTTTGGGTCACAGTAATTACACTCAAAACCTGTATGTTTTCTTTTTTATCCTCACAAATGACCCCGGAGGTAGGTGGGGCAGGTCCTGTTTCTATTACAATTTACAAAAGAGGAAACACACTGACTGAAAGGTAGTACATTCCTTTTAAGTCAGAAGGGCCATTGTGCGTGTGCAGAAACTCTTCCTCAACGGGCGAGGCCAGGTGCCAGGTTTCCTGAACCTGGCACAGAATTTCGTGGACGAGAAGAAAGTAGCAGGAGAGAGCTGGGCAAAGGCCTGATGTGGTCCATTTCTGGCGGATGGTAGTGGGTGATAGCACTGTCTCATTCAGTGCCTACCAGCCAGCGACATGGTGAAGGGCTGGAGGTTGTAGGAATGATAGGACAGTGACTTTGATGGGGAGGGTCTCTGATGAATGCCAACGGAACTTAGGTTTTGATAACACAGAAGTTGCTGGAAGCTTCAATCAGCACAGGCAGGGGTGATGAAGAGAGCTGGAGATGATGTCTAGTGGCTCCCAGCACTCTCTGGAGGATGATGAGATAAAGATGATGGTGGAAGAGAAACATAGCTGGGGATTCAGCTATGATTTAGGGTAATAGGAATCATAGCAACCAGCGGCCTGTTGCTGATAGCCCCAGACTGGTGTTTCGGGGAACTCGGGTTGTGGGGGAAGTCGGGGAAAGCCTGCAGGGCATTTGTTGGTTTGTGAAGCTCAGTTTTGTGGGGGAGGAAATTCATCGTGGGGGTTGTATATCTCCTGGGGGAAATGGTCCTAGCCTTTGCTGCTGTTTTGATGTTATGGGTGTTTTGTTTTTAAATTTCAAATCTTGAACTTGATTTAAGGAAAGTCTTTAACTTTCCTGACATTTATAGAGGCCCAAAGGCAGCAAAGTACAGCCATTTAGAAGGCTAATAAATCAAAGAACCTCAAGGCCACAGTCTTCTTCTTGCACATCCCACAACACTTCTGGAGTGGACCCCACCTCCTCAACCCAGTGCTGGAAAGACCCAGGGCCTCGGAACGTGTGGGCCTGATTGGGCAGGGGTGCCTTCAGAGCGGCTGTTGAACACGGATGACAAGGCTGAGGCACCAAATAAATGACAATTTCACCTTCTGGAAAATACAGTCTGTAGCTCCTTTTTACATACTGCTTTCCAGTACCGAACACTCAAGAACTCTATCTCATTCCACTTTCCCCTTTGACCTTGACTCTCTTCTAGTGGATGCTATGTCCTGAACTCAGGGAATATGTTCTGAACGAAGCAGGAGAAGCTGCAAACAACCCCTTCAGCCTCTCTGCCCAGCTCGGCCTCCCTTGCCAGGTCCTCTCCTGCATCCCAGGGCATTCAAGGGCGAGAGGAGGGGCTGAGCTCTGGCTCAGGCAGAAACAGCACTGGCCTGTACAGTGAAGGATGCTAACTCTGCCCTCATCACAGGAAGGGCTGAAAGAAACCCAATTAGGCTTAAACTAATGAGCTGGAAATGTTGGGGAAACCACTGTGGGGACAATGAGGGGACAGTGTGATTATCTTCCTTTTAATTAGCATTGGAAAAACCTGTAGCCCAGCTGGTAGCGCAAGGGAATACGTTTCTGAGAATATCAGAAGCAGGATTCCCGTGGGCTGAAGGGATAAAGGCTGCTGAACAAAGGCTCCTTCATCTTTAAGGGGGGAGGAGGGAAGACCCTAAATGGGGAAAGGTGGGTTGACTGGAGGCGGAGCACCCCTTCTCCTAGCGGCCCTCCTCACATGCTGGAGTAAAGCTACAGAAAGGAAACCGTACTGCCTGTCGGAGCCCGCTCCGCCCCAAGGCCAAGTTCTCTCTGCCCTCTCACTTTCTTAGGCAGCCTCTGAGGCTTCAGGAGGGGACGGCAGGAAGACCACCTGCTGCTGTCAGGGCCGAAGGCCGCTGCCCGTCTCCTGGATGCCCTGCTTTCTAGCCAGAAGCTCAGGGTACTGGAGCCCCTAGAAAGGGGGAACGGAAGAGCAAACTAAGGATTGGTGGGATTGGCTAGGGTGTGTATCTGGAAGAATAGTCCTTCTAACTCTCGAGGCCCAAAGATCTTGAGGTGTCAGGCCTGTGGAATTGAGTCCACAGCTGGTCACTGCTCTCCTCGTCTCCCCAGTGGGGTCTCCTTTGGGGAAAAATGGCCTGCCATGGGAGCTCAGGCATCCTTTTCGGGATTTCCAGGGAGCTATGCTGGGGTGGCAGAACATCGGCGAGAGTTGAAGTCCTGCGCCTGGGCTTAGGGCACTCGGCTTCGCGCACTGGGGGTGCCAGGGGTGCGTGCCAGGCTGCCGCCCAGTGGTCAGCCTGCCCCCTGCCCAGCCCCGACTCTAGGCGAGCTAGCCCTGCGAGCCTCCTTCCCTCCCGCCTCGGGTGGCTTGAGCCCGCGCCCGCTCCAGTTGCTGCAGCTGCTGCTGCTGGCGGCCGCGGGGAGCGCGGGGCGCGCGCCGAAGAGGCTCGGGCGGCGAGGACGGAGGCGAGGAGAGCCGGAGGAGGCGAGGAGGAAGGACCGGCGGAGGCCCAGGAGGTTCAGCGGCGAGGCGACGCGCTCAGGGAGCAGGGGCTAGCGGCGGCGGCGCTCGGCGACCGGACGCGGTGAACCTGCCGCGGCCCAGTGCGCACAGGGGCGGGGAGCCGGAGCCGAGCGTAGCGGGGGAGGAGGGCTGGCGTCCGGGCCGAGGGGGCTGATTATACATTACTAACGACTTGTCGCCTAATAAGCCAAAAGCCGCTCTTCAGCTGCGCAAGCTGCGCGTGGGGAGGGGGTCCCGGGCCGGAGCGCAGCGCACACGCCTGTCGCACGGCGGGCGGCGCCGCGCTGAGGGCACCCGGACCCGCGCACAGAGCCGGGGCGGGCCCGGGGGCGGTGCAGACCCCGGGCGCGGGCGGCCCGCGGCGCCCCCTCACTTTCTGCGCTCCCGGCCAGCGCGGCTCCGAGCGAGCGGGGCGCGGGCGGAGGAGGGGGAGCTGCCCCCGCGCTCCATCCCCTCCCCCCGGGGCGGGCGGGCCGGTGGCCGGGGGGAGGGCGGGCGGCGCGGCTGGCTGTATATATCTCCGCGCACCCCGCCAGGTCGCGCACAGCGCCCCGAGCCCAGGCACCTCCCCGTCCCCCTCCCCGCGCTCGGCGGCGGCGGCGGCGGCGGCAGCAGTAGCAGCAATATGGCTGTTGATGGGTGTTCGGGGTGGCGCTGGCGGCGGGAGGAGCTCCCCCGAGCCCCTGCGCCGGCTGCCCGTTGCTAGCTATGGCAAATGGTGGCGGCGGTGGCGGCGGCAGCAGCGGCGGCGGCGGCGGCGGCGGCGGAGGCAGCAGTCTTAGAATGAGTAGCAATATCCACGCGAACCATCTCAGCCTAGACGCGTCCTCCTCCTCCTCCTCCTCCTCCTCTTCTTCTTCATCCTCCTCCTCTTCCTCCTCGTCCTCGGTCCACGAGCCCAAGATGGATGCGCTCATCATCCCGGTGACCATGGAGGTGCCGTGCGACAGCCGAGGCCAACGAATGTGGTGGGCTTTCCTGGCCTCCTCTATGGTGACTTTCTTCGGGGGCCTCTTCATCATTCTGCTCTGGCGGACGCTCAAGTACCTGTGGACCGTTTGCTGCCACTGCGGGGGCAAGACGAAGGTAAGGCGCGCCCCGGGCGCCCGCCCCCTGCGCCAGCCCAGCCGCTGCTCAGCGTCCCCCGCAGCCCACCTCCTCGCTGCTCACAGCGCGGTGCCTTTCTCCATCCCTGCCCGCCTTCCCTGCACCGCCGTCCCTTCCCTCCGCTCTGCCTGCGCCCTCGGATCGGGGCAGCGGGCGGCGCGCCGGAGGTGAGGAGTTGCCCCCAGCCGGTGCGCTCCGGGACACGGACGCCCAGTCCTGTTCCCTTGTTTATTGTACGGTTGTTTGCGGCTGCGGCCACGGTGGGGGACGCGCGCCGCTCGGGTGCTGTGGTGCGGGGTAGGGAGAGCCAACCTCGCGGGCAACGAGGAAGCTGGGGGCGGCTGGGGGCGTGCTCCGCACCCCTCGCCTGCCCATGCTCGGCTCCTTGCGGTGGGTGAGAGGGAGCACAACGGCCCGCACTTTAGAAACCTGTTGGGGAGATGGGTTCGTGGAGTCAGAAGAAAGGAAAAACCTTAACCTTTTGCTCTAGGGAATCCCCGGGGAGGAACATGGCCAGAGGAAGTGAGGGGACGAGGGTGGGGGTGGCGGGGTGTCGAGAGAAAGTTGGGGAGATGCACCCCAGATTTGGTGGTAACCCAAGGAGGTTGCTACTTTAGGAGTGTGGCGAGGTCACACATCTGATGTCATCTCCCTCTCCATTCCTTAGATATTCTAGTGGAACATACTCCCCCAGCCCCAACTTCTGGGGCATCTGTATTCTCGCCCCCATGCCACCTCCTTTAGGTCCCTGGAAATGCCACCGGTAGCGTGGAGCTGAAGCGAGAGGTCTGCCCGGGAGACCGCGGAGGCCGCGGTTTCACACCGAGCCTCCTCTCCGACGGTTTCGGGTGGCTGGATGTCAGGTTAAGCTGTTCCTGGCCCAGGGCCGCCCACCAGCGCCGAGGGTCACTTCACTTTATATATGGTTGTTAGGCTGGCTGGTCTGTCGCTGGGTTTCTGCGGACATTCCCCCATCCCGATCGCTGAAGGTGAGGGGGCATAGAAACTGCACAATGTAAAAGAATACTGGAAACAAGTGACTGAGCTGCCTTCTGTTTGAGTAGTTCCCATCCTAGGGCACTTGAGTGCCAGCATTTACAGAGGGAGAGGGGATCAGGGGGGCTAGGGGAACAGTGCAAGGTAGAGGCAGAGCTTGGAATGTTCACACCATTTCTGGGAAAGTTCCCAGGAGGACCCCTCAAACTTCCACAGGGCATGGCAACTTGTCGCAGGCTCCTCAGTTGCTACAGGAAGAGGTAGGGAAACCAGGGGCTGTGGGTGGCACTGGGTGAACTGGACCTTGCTCTCCTGATCATTAATTATGCATCCTGTTGGGTGCTGAAGCTCAGCTGTGTTTTGTGGCAGCAGGTTTGTGTTTGGGAAAACACTGATGTGTTGGAAATAAGGGAGAACAAGAAAAGCCATCACTCTCTTCCTCTCCTCCCACTTCTCCAGAAGCCTGCAGGTGTTGGCCAGCCTGCTTTCTTTGGAGTTGCCTTCTCAGCCATAGAGGTTTCTCCTTACCTCCCGCATTCCAGAGAAGCCACCAGAGGAAGCAGAATCCTAACCATGAGACCCTGAGACCCGAGCATTGCCTGACCCTAACAGCCGCTCACTCATAGGGCCTACTTAACCATCATTTCCTCTCCTCCACCCCCAGTGTCTTCAGCGCTGACGTTGATTTTCCTTTGCAGAGTTTTGTTGTCAGCCCTGGGGGAAAGATAGCTCATGGTTGTGTGCATCTAAAATGTTCTTTAGATGAGTGATTCTGATGAACTTTTTAACAGCCTCCTTGTCCATAAGGAACTGGGCAATCTTGATTATAAGGCAAACTTTTTTTCAACGAATCAAAGTAAGTTTTGGTGTTTTTGTGGTCCTGGGCTTTTAAACAGTCTCTAAAATCTTTTTGCTCTAGGGGATACATCAGTGCCACTGCAGTACCTTGATGAAATGCTAATCATATTGTTCACAGAAAGAATCTCTTTCCTGAATGATGACCAAGCACAACTTCTGTCAGTTTTCTCAAGAAAAATAGTTTTTGGCAATGATCATTAGAGAAATAAAACGATCCCTATATACTAGGCTGTATTTTGTAGCTCCAAGACCTGCTGAGTTGACATAACTGGAAGTTTCTACAAAAAATCAGAGATCCTTGCAGTTGATTGGAAAGAGAGGCGATGTAGAACAAGGTCAGGTCACTTTTGATGCCATTAGAGTTCATTTTAAACCATGCCTAGAACCTCTTAATACCTGCCCCTTGATTTGCGCAGTTAAACTTAGTGTAGATAGCTCATCACACCCACTGGTAATAACTTAGACCTTTTATAAGTTCTTTCTGCCCTTGATGTCTGTTGCAGTCATGGTTTTTTTGTTGTTGTTCTTTTTGTGTGTTTTTTTTTCTTCCCAACATTCATTTTGCTTTCCAAGTATTTGGTAGTAGAGAAGAATACATTTGGCTTGAACTTGGAATAATTATTTTACTACTGGGTTTCCCAAGCAAACCTAGGCTGCTTTTCCACAGAATTCTACTGGCCCTCAGCGGTGTTCACCCTAACCTTCACTCAGTCCCAACATAGTTTGACCAGGAGCTGGAGTCCATTGGAAGACTGGTCTTTTTAGCACCAGAAATTCCGTGGGAGATAAATTTCAGCAGGGAGCTGTGGAATCACAAGCATTTGGTCCCTGGGTTTGCACCATCCTTTTTGATTAAAGGAACCTGGGACTGTGGGTACATCATTAGTACCTTTGGCCTCTGAATCCCAAATGGTGAATGACTCTATTATTTTGAAAAGAACTGTATGTGGGAAATAAAGGAAGAAAATGAATTACATTTCCCCCTGTTGGGAACCTGGACACAGTCATCTCGACACTGTGTTCTTTGTTGTACTTTGTCACTTTGTTTTTTCCCTGTTGAGTCTCACTAGAGCTCACTCTTCACTAGGCCTTAACATTTTGAGGTCCGATCCAGTAGCAGACTGGGGTGAACAGGGAGCTCTGGCAGCCTGAATGAGGCATGACCTTGAAGAAGTCATCTAACCTCTCTGGTCTCTCTTTTCTTGTGTTTAAAATGTGGAGATTGAATTCTGTCTTCTCGTGTCCCTTTCTGCTCTGACTCAGGGTCAGGAAGTGGAAGGACGGTGGGCAGTCTCTAGCTCAGAATGTGGGTTGCAGTGGAGCAGCCGTTCCCTTAGGAGCTCAGCCTCGGAGCGCTCCTGTCTTTCCTTCCGTCTCCTGCTCCTTGTCCAGCACAGTCTCCTTTCCTTTCAGTTCATCTGGGGAAGCTGAGGCTAACTTCCTGTGGAGCTGCGGTTTGCCTCGGGGCCTGCATGGGGCAGGCATGGACTGCCTCCTGCTCTCAGTTCGAGCTGTCCTCCCCGTAGAGGCCTGGTCGAGGCTGGTCTGCACGTAATGAATTATTGAGGTATTGTCTCCATGGCTGTGTCTGAAAAAAACAACACGTTTTCTCCGTCAGGCTCGTGACTAATACAAATATCAGATCCCATTACAGCTTGGTAATTACCCAGGGTCTGGCCTGACGCATCCAATCAGGGCTGGAGCTTCAGGGCCTCTGAATTCTTGATGCCACATTGGCCCTGGTGCCTCATCTCATCCTGGGGATCAGCTGCATCAGACAACCTTCGCATACTTCTTTCTGATGAGCTCACCTAGGCCTTGGAGAAGTTCTCGGGTCCCACTGCAGCTGACCTTCCCTTATCCTCAGCTTTTGCTTCTCGTGCCTGGCTCTCTCTATGGAAATACACACTTGAGTGGAGACTCTGCAGTCAGGCCCAAGTGCAAATCATGGATCTGCTCTTATGAGCAGGGCACCCTTGTCTGGCAACCATGTCAAGCCTTAATCTCGTCGTCTGTGAAAGAGTGTAATGGTGCTTACTTCGTAGGCTTCTTATAAGGAGTGGCAATAATGGGTGCGCGGCATCCAGCACCTGCCTGGCATTTAGCAGGCCTCCTTAATGGGTGCTCCTGTAGCTCCATAAGGTGGTGAGTTTCTTTTCTCTTGATTCCTTAACTTTTGGTCCCTGTAGGGCACAGGCTACAACAAATAGACATTTTGAGCCAAAAGGAATCTCGAGACCCTGAAGTCGGCTGTCTAATAACCAGTTAGAGTCAGAGTGAGATTTGGGCTCATGGTTTTTGGCTGTTGCAAGGCTGGCAGATTGGGGAGGGGCAGCCAAGAAAGGCTCCGTGGGTGAAGGCCTGGCAGATGGCTGGTGCTTTATGGTGGGCACGTCCCTGGACGAGCATGGACGCGGGGGGCCCCAGTAGCTGTGTGCACGTCAGAAATGAAAGGTTTGTTGGGCAGGTGTGGCTGTCCACCTTCCCTTGAGAAGGAACCGATTCCATCCCTGTGAACCCCTGGACTCATACACCTGTTCCTCAAATAATGTAAGTTTCGTAACCAGGATGCTCTCTCTACCTGGATCAGTTTTAGTGTTTCCCGAAGTGTGTTCCGTGGAGCACTTGCCCTTGAAGTTAACCTTGTGAATAAAGTGGGGAGTCCTGGCACACCCGAGCGCCCCCTTGGAGAGTCCAGGCTTGGCGAAGGCCTGCAGTGGAGACACTGATTGAACTGCTCATGACCGTGCTCACTCGGAGCAGCTAGCCTAGATGTCAAGCCTGCTGTGCAGTACCCGAGAGTCAGCCTGTGACCTTGGGCAAGGACTTTCCTGCTTTGTTCCTCGGTTTCCTCATCTACAAATTGGGGATCGTAATAGAGCACATCCCTGTGGGGGGATAGGTACTCTCAGTGCCCCATTTGCTAGGAGGACACAGTGACTGCAAGCCATGGGCTGCCCTCCTGCCAGTGCCCGGGGGCCTTGTCTAAACAGGCATCAGGAGGAAAGGAAGAGCTGCCCTAGCATTTGGCCTTGGGGAGGAAGGATTCCAAGGCCAGGACCGAGTAGGCCTCTTTTTTCCCCTCATCACTGTCTTCTTCCCTGAATGGGGACATTCACTGGGTG